ATAAATCAAAGTTCGTCAGAAGAGGGACAACAATGCTCACTAAGAAGTAATTAGCAAATCTCTAGAACTCTATGGGGCATTTATTCTAGGGCGGGCTATTTGGTTCGGACTGTTTGGTTTTACCCAAAATCGGACCGTATAATCCGGACCGGGATCGGACTGGGAGCGGATAACAATCAATCCAATCTCATATTCGGACTTAGATTTGAGGTAAAAAAATCGGATAAAGACCGGATAAGAGACCCTCAACACCTAAAATCAAGATCAAATTGGGACCGGACCGGATCAAGACCGGATTGTATCCAATCCAATTTTTGGTTCTTATATTCCCGAAAAGACCGAACTGGAACCGGATCAATTTGGTCCAATTTAACCGACCCGGACCTTATAGCCACCCCTAATTTATTCCCCTGTGCCCCTATTCCTTTTTTAGATTTTCTTTTCTCCTGTTCTTGTGATGGTGAGAGTGTCCGTGTGGGGTTTGTTATGCCTCATTGCTTCCTCTATTCTGTGTCTTCCTTTCTTTGTGTTTCCCACTCTGGGATTCTTTCGTTATTCTTGGCTTATCTATGTTCCTATCATGCACAGATAGACATCCTATTTATTTCCAATAATCCACCAGGTAATATTATATCTACCTGATTGGATGTAAACCGACCTCTGAATAGATACCGTTGAACCAATGAGAGCTTCCTATGCTCTGGTTGTTCATTAAGAAAAGGTAGGCTCATCTACTTAGGGCTTCAATTTCACGGAGGTGAGGAACCTCGTTGAGAAGTATATTACTCTCCTCCTATCCACATGGCTTCGATTTTGCGGAGAAGAAGACGCGGGAATGGAGAAAGCCCAGGCGAGCGGAGACAGAGAGCATCTCATGCACCAACCCGCAACTGAACAAACCCACACCTAGTGAACGGTGAAAGTTAGGTTTTTCGAGCGGAAGCTAACACTATGTATTCATGGACGAAGAGCTAGACGAAATAGAAACCTATCGTCATCACAACCAAGCCATGGAGAAGCTTGGCGCTTCGATTCTCCAGCTATCTATCTCCAATCCCAGCTTGCCCAACCTCTAGGGATCACTGGGGCAAAAGGCAGTGGGATAGGCACCAGCCAATCGTCGAAGAGGATTTCTGGAAAGGGAAGAAGGGGAAAGTAGACCGAAACTTGGCTAGCCGTCAAACCAATCGTCGAAGGGGCAAAGAGTGTTGAGATGGAATAGTTGCATATTGAGAATAGGCAAAAGGCACGCGGGTGCATAGAAGCATAAGGTGTACCCTTCCGTATTTTCCTAGATCCCTTAAGCTAAACTCGCCAATTAATATATCTAATAATAATTGAGGTCTAAGTTGCTCTTTTCCTTGTTATATTACCAGTTACTACTAGACTAACATTGACTACAATTCCATGAATGTCATCAACCCCAAACCAAAAATTATATTATGAGTCACAGATCATCATGTTACGATGGTTGGGGTCGTGAATCATGAATTAAAGATAATGGAATGAATTACATTGGATCTGTCTCAACTAGATGCCATGCTAAGAGTGATCAGGTTGGTATCGTCTATCTACCATTATTGTCGGGTTGACATTGAGTACCATCAACTTATCGACCATGACATGATGTCATGATAACCATGGTAAAATAAGACGTCGACTATTGATTAAGGTAACTATGATGATGAAAATATGACATCGACCTGCTAGTAATTATTATTTTTGTTATCAAATAAGATATTCAATTACATCAACAACGAGGAATGTCAACAAACTTGTTATTTATGTCGCGACACGCCGGCACTAATAGTTAATTCTAACAAATCCAAAATCAAAGTCACCTCCTCCACCAAAATCAGGTTTGCTGTTGAAACTTACAACTTCCATCCAATATGATAAGTGATGGATAAAAGAATTTGCTATAATAAACATGACCACATTTGAATTTGATTTGAAAAGGTGATGCATATTTTCTTTTCTAGAAAGATTACATTGATCTTTCGAAATCGGTTCCAACATACTTACATATAGGTGGTGTGAGTATGTGTATGAAATGGGGAGTCTAAAATCATATTTGCCTCAACTCCCATCATTTTTATTATAGATTACCCGCATTAACGGGATTGCATACGATTAGCCACCCACAATCATGAATTTAATTGTCATCCCTCGTTGGACACATTGAGCTGCAGCTTCTTGTTACATGTAAGCAGAAGATGGGAACATCATCAACTGGTTAATTATCAAGAAACTTTTTCCATTCCCACAACCCACTGACCAACACATGCGTGTTCTCGACCGATAGATTTATATATATGCAACAGACGATCAACTTGACACCACCAAAACGCCAAAGCAACAATCAACCCAAAATTACTCCATTAGTCCCAAATGCATGCTAGCTAGCTAGCTAGCTGCAGAAGAAAGATATATGTAGCTGCTAATCAACAGACCCAATACGTGCAGCCTTAATCAATAGTTCTTTGGGGGATTATTAGAGAGCCAGACGACCTGCTGAACGGCAGAGGCAGCCAGCAAGCAGAAGGTGAAGAAGGCGAACCCGATCGAAACGGCGACGTGATCGCAGAAGCTCTGTAACGGCTTGCAGAAATTGGGCAGCACCGTGTGCCGTATCCCTGTCTTGTTCAGGTTGCTCACTCCCGCAGAAGCCGCGCCCCCGCTCACCACCGCGTAGGCGAGCGCCTGATCGACGGCGAAGAGCAGCCAGGCGTGGGTTCGAGACTGGACGATGGGGGTGTTCTTGATGAGCCTGGTGGAGCTGATTGCGAGCTGGAGGAGCGAGTGCGCCGCGCAGACTGCAGTTACGCCCACCAGGTACCTGCACAGCCACAGGGATTACACACACAAACCAAATCGCAATCAATCAAGCGATTTAGACAGGAAAAAACTTGTATTTGTTACGGAAAGAGGTTTCCGAACAAATTCAGTATGAATTTTGGTCTCGTCCGAATTGAATTGGACCAAATTCAAGAGATTTGCGATCCAATATTGAAAGATATTTTAGGATTAAGGACTGGACCAACAACGTATTTGATACGACTTGATCTGGTTCAAATGCCAATTTTGTTCATTTTTCTTCTGTATTCATAAAATTTATGGGAGCAAAAAGCAGACTACATTATATTTAGTTTCATATGATCCGGTCCAAGCGTCAGTTTGTTCCAGTACAGACATTTTTTTGGGTAAATGGATGCAACACATCTCAGCTTCACACAACTTATATATGTCAACTCATTTTAGGTGTTAATTTTCTGCCAATTTCATCAAAGCCAACGATTTATCTCATCTTTGCTCACAATTTGTGTTCATATAAATATTTTGTGTTCTGCAAACCCGTAGCTTACTATCTAGTAAATCAAATTGAGCAATAATTCTCTAAGTAGCTAGCAACTTGGATTTATAATTCAACTGACGAGAGATCTAGTACAGAAACATCGAAATATGATTCAAACTTGTTCATCTTGTACTTGTATAAATACGAGTCACTTATATAACCAGATCATCGTAACCCGCTCATGGACTACAATATTTGCGCTAAAGCATCTAAAATTGAATGGTTGTTTACCTGTCTGTCACTCCAAAACAAAAACGCTCTGCAGGTAACAAGAAAAAAGTTTACCCAGGCCGGGTCTAGGTGTCAAAAGTCAGTCTATTAACTCATCAATCAATCATTCATTCCTCGAGAATAAGTGTGAGAATCTAAATTCTAAAGGCTTCGGCTTTTGAGGACAGAGTCAGTCAGTCAGTCACGGGCCTGTTTCTCTGTTCAATAATAGAAAAACATGCAATTCCCCTTTTGTTGTTACTCACCAAACAATATAATATGCATGACGACGAAACGGCTTTCTCTAGGCAGAGTTAGTATGCCACAGAGCTCTGGAAAAAGGGCAGTTTGGTCACTGCAAAAACACCTCCACCGAGTAGGTAACATTCGTTCGTTCGTTCTTCCTTGGCACACATTTCGTACCGCCACAACACGACAAAGCAGCGGGATTCCAGTTTGTTTGGTTGCCGAGAAAATAATACAGAGGACGAAACGGAAATGGAAACAGGGGAGGGAAAACAGAGTAAAACAGAGCAAGGCAGATGGAAGAGAAGAGGGTAGTAGCTACTTACTGGAAGGAGTGAGAGAAGGACCACTTGGAATTGACCGGGAGCATGAAGCCGTAGATGGAGACGGAGCCCGACTGCCGAGCCGACACCATGAATCCCACCGCCGTCAGTGACGTCACCAAGCACAGCAGCCGGAGCGTCCCCTGCATCAAGTCGGATCTCCGCCGCCCCAACGGCCCACTAACACCAGCTGACGCCTTCCCGGCGGCCACTACTGTACTGCCGTCCTCTTCCGCCGGCGTGACTGGGACCGAGACCTCCGGCACCTTATTCTGTCCTTCTTTGGTCGTCGTCATGGCTGCCTGCCTTCTTTCTCTTTTGCTCTGTTTTGTTCAGAGGGCTCTGTTGTGCTTGTGAGTGAATGAGGCAAGCTAGGCTGGCATCTATATATAGAGACATGGAATCCAAGTCGTCATCTATATCAAGTGATTACATTATTATTTATTAATAATAGGTTTAATACACTTGTATATCCAAAACTTTCATGCCAAATTTCCCGAAATACCACTTATATTCATGTTTTAAAGTTGTTCTTTGCCAAATCTATCAATTTCCCAATATATTTTTGATTAAATACACTTGTATATCCAAAAACACCGTTAAAGAATGTGAAAGAATTGTATATAAGTGGTATTTCGAGAAATTTGGATATTATTGGCACAACCATAAAAGTTTTGGATATACAAGTGTATTTAACCTTAACAATATCGAATATTTTTTATTTGAATTCTATGGAGGAGCCTCTGGTGGTAGCTAAACAAAAAAAGCTTACCAAGTTTCTCAAAGTTGAATCAAGGTAAAATGGCTCTTTAGTTACGTATAAAATTCCAGCAAGTAAACAAAATTTACAAACAAAAGAGTACTGCCGTGACTCTAACCCTTTAATACAATTGCTCCATTGTAACAACCTAAATTTGGTTGGGGATTCATATATTGAGAGTGGGTCTGCAGTAGATATTAATCCCCTAATAAATTCATGATTGATTGAAAGAAAGCTACCCAGTAATGAGGTTAGCTATTAACTCAGAAGTAGAAATATTAAATTTATGGTGTAACATGATTTGAATCTTACACGTGTCTGTTCGTGCGAATAGGTTATGACAAAAATGTAATGATAATCAAGATACCTGTTTTGAAAATGGGTTATATTTGTATCTATAATATGTCACTCTATTATGTTGTTTTACCGAACATGTCACTCTACTTTGAAAAAAGATCAAATATACTGTTTTGTCAAAATTTGCATCCAAAAGCAGTCAACCAGAGTCAAGCCTTGGTTTGAGAGACACAGATATCTAAAATATTCCTAATAATTCCACTTTAGAATTTTTTGTTTTATAGTATAACCAAATATCTATAATAATTTCACTACCTGGAAAAATAAATCAAGGGACAAAACTGACATTTTCACTTCAATTTGCCGATTTCGAGTCATCTATATCTCGATTCAACCATGGTTGATGATTTTGAAATGAAAATTTTAACAAAAGGACATAATGTTTGATCATTTTACCAAAATACAGTAACCTCGATTTAACCATGGTTGATGATTTTGAAATGAAAATTTTAACAAAAAGACATAATGTTTGATCATTTTACCAAAATACAGTAACATGTTTAACGTAAGAAATTAAAAATAATAGAGGATCATGTTTGATAAAACTATGACATATTATACCTTAACCCTTTGAAAATCATATCAAACACATGATAAACAAATCTGTGGTCTGTTGTAACGAATAGAGAGCTGGAGGGAGCAATATACATACTTTACGTAGCGTTAACAATATTGGAGATTTAAGAAAAGGAAAAGAAATGGAAGCAAAGAATATCACAAGGTCGGGTTTGGAACCTAATATTACTGATATATGTTGGTGCATGACAGCACGAGACTAGAGTTACATGTGTTGATTAGAAAAAGGGGAGTATTTGAATGGTGTTAGCAAAGGTTGTTCAACTAACGACTATATACGACTAATTAATTGCATTTTCCTGACAAAGGAGCAACTCATAAATGAGTTGACATAGGTTGACCATTTAGCTGCAGATCCAATAAGGTATTGCCACTCTTCTAAGTTCCAAGATACATGCATTTTCACTATATAAATCAATATCTGCCCCGGAGAAAAAAAAAAAAATTCATAAGTCATATAAAAATAAGAGGGGCCAGTAATACCATCTACTTCAGTAGATACCCAAGAAACTGCATATCGTTGCCTGCGGAATAAACTGATGAAAAGTCAAAATCCCTGTTGCGAGGGAGAAACACCAACTTCATTCTGAAACAGAAGAAATACAACTCATCGCTTGTATAAAATCTGTTATACATACGTATCTAAGATTTCTGCATACGAGGACTTTCGGCGTCCAACTTCTGGTAAACATAGACATAAATTTAGCTCGGTCTCCTCCCTGCAAAAACAATGATGACCAAGCGGAATGTAAGAGACATCTATTAGCCATCACCACAGAACAAATACTCTCCTTCCTTCCTTTGATACAAGCCGAAAACTGAAAGAAAGCTAAACAGCAAGCATAATGTTACTAAGACGTCATAGAGCACTGAACGTTTAAGAGTTCCTGATGGAAGACGAGAAGACAAAAACTAACTCGCCAACTGCAGAAAATAGATAAAACCTGCTGTCAAGTGCACAGATCAGTCACCACCTTTTTCTCCTTTATGCTTCACGAAAACCGCCCATAGAGAACCACTCAACAAACCTGGGATGGCTATGACAGATGTTTATTCACTGCTCTTGTTGCCGAGACTAGATATAGGATCCAGCAATTTGGCTGCTTTTGTGCTGATCCTGTGAGCTTCATGACATACTACCAAATCCAGTCTCCTTTTGCTTCTTCTTCATTGCAGATTCAAGCTTAGATGCAAAGCTCATTGTTGACATCAATGCTTCCTGAGTAGACTTCGGTGCATTCTTCAACTGCAAAACTGCTATATGATCTGAAGATTGACCTGAACCAAATGAAGAAGAAGAAGCTAGTCCAAGTGGGACTGCACTCGAGCTCTGATTTTTATCCAAATCAATGTTACTTCCTTGACCAGTACTAGCAACACCATGGCCTGAACTAGAAGGTAAATGACATCGTACATGTCTATTCCCGTCAACTGCTGAAGTTGCCCCAAGAGAGAAAGGGTTTAGTATTCCTGATGCTGCTATGTGATCACTTTTCTGTGCCATGTCGTTTATCCCAGGTTTCACTCCTGGAATTTGCTGAAGCAGACTGGATGTGTTCAATAAAGGTGCCTTGGAAGCATCATCTCGAGTCGCTGGGGATACACTCGACTTCTTAGCAGCAGAGAATTCCAAAGGAGATTTACCAAATGAGAGGAAGTTAATTCCCTTCGGTCTAACAGCTTGTGGAGTTACCTTCAAAGCAGAGTTTGAATCACCAATTATACCAGGTGAAGGTTGATCTGTATGACTGGAGCCACCTAATGATAGTTTGAAAGTAGGCACTATTACAGGTTCATTAAATACAGTTTTTCCCGGAGCTTGTTCGATCTTTGTGGAAGAAAAGACAGCTGGCACAATTGCAGTTTTGCCACTCTGATGTAAGGGGGCAACCACATCCAACTTTTTCTTGGAATCGAGAGTTCGTGAAAGGAGTAAAGAGTTTGGGTTGACACTGGAAGCAGTTGACACTTCCCCATTTGGCAGCAACTGCAAAATATTGTTATCAATTTCAAGAGTTAGTTCTTGATAATAAGAGATGCCAAACACCACCCCAACCCAATTCACTGAAAATTTATGTCACACAAATTAACCTAAACCATGAATCCGCAAACCCATTTGAACAAACCATTAAAGCAAACCAATTTATAAGATATAACCTCTAAACCGATACTAAACAGCTTCAAGCAAAGGTATGCCGAAATGGTTAGGAGAAAACAACAAATATCTAAAGGGGTAGGTACCTTATGTGAAAACAGGCATTTTTGGCCTCTGCTACAATAACCTGTTGACTTAAAATTGTCACAGGGATATTTGGAGAGTTCATGGTCACGTAGACAATCATCTCCCTTCATGCATGCGCCACGGACAAAAAACTTGCATGGCTGCAGCACAAGAATGTACAAACCAGAGATGCTTAGCAACCCATAAAATATACACAGCATTTGGCCTCAACCGGGAGGAGAAGGTTGGGGCCAAGTGCGATTAGGTGGTCTTTGTGAAGTCCTGTTTTACTTCAACTTTACATAAGTTGGTACTTAGTAACATCGCCATTAAATTTTTGTATTTTTTTTCTTTTATGAATGATACTGCCACCATAAAACTCTTGATTCTCTAGGGTCAGCAGTATTTTCCTAGCGTTAGTAACATAGGGTTTCATTTCATTTACTATCAAATTCAGTGCAAATGACCTATTAGATGCCAACAGTAATGATCCATTTAGAGGCGAGAGACCGATGCTGCCATGGACCACAAACAATTAAATCTTCATTTTCATCAGCAAATATTCAAGCATTCACCCATTGATCGATAATGGTATAGAACAGGAAGATTGTATCTACGTAGGTCTTGCATCAATGGGGACCTTTCCTATGTTGCCATGACTTGGCTTCTTTGTTTTCAGGGCTATCTAATTCATACTACACAATAAACAAGAACCTCCAGAAGAAGATATAAATAAATCAGGAAAAGAAAGCTTTTGTCACAAATAACTAGATAAGAAGGGTACTGAACCAAAGAGGATACCTCAGATTTCGTCAAGGGTATTGCATCATGTGAAAATTTGCATTTCTCACTCTGTATAACATGGGACAAAGACTAGTCAGTAACAGGAGTACTATGATATCAAAGAAGAGTGAAGCATGCATGAAAAATTCACCTCCCAGCATTTTCCCAGCATGTAGTGGCGGCAAATTTCTACAGGCTTTTGCTTGACAAATGGTTGTAGTTTGAGCCGTTTGACGCCAAGTTCTTTGTTTTTTTCTGCTCGTTTCTTTCTTTTGTTTTGCTGTAAGCAAAATATCCAATAACAACCAGTTATAATGACCAAAATAATCAAGCATGGAAAGATAGAACTATCACAGGACAAGACAGGAGACCACCTAGTCTGGATTTCAATGCTCCTTTAGAAATAACTACAAATACTGTACACGTTATCTTCTCCTTTTCTATTCAGCAAATGATAACAAACAATATACGTGGAAACAGTAGTATGAACGAGTTTGAGCAAACATAAGTAAACCTAACAAGCGGATAAAGATAAACTGAACACCAAGGTTAGCAAAGAGTATAAACTATGGACCTTTCTCTTTAGCTTTTGTGAGTCACTGGGAGGACCCCTCTTTTTGTTCTTGCTTGGACTTGCATCCTGCAGCATTTAGAAGAAACAGTAAATACACGGGCTCAGAGTGACACATAATTGGAAGAAGAAAAAACAATTAACAAACCTGAAAAATGCGTGTGCAGAAAAGAAAGGATGTAAGCAAACAATTAGACAATCATTGCACGGGTCAGTCACTTCTACCAGTTAAACAAACCAGAAACATTTCACTTATATGTCCTATTTCTGAATAAGCAGGTGACAAAATCCTCATCCGTGCTAAAAAATTAGTTGCTCTTCATATCAATAGGTCACAAACACCAAGATAACAGTCAATATATGTCTACACTAAGCATAAAACATACCTTCTCTAGAGAGGCAGCTCCTTGGCTTCCTGTTGGATCCTGATATGAAGTTCCCAAAGGAAGTGCAAGGCTACTAGGAAAAGGCTCAGCAGGTCTGACATCACTCTTAGCAACACTCATTTTGAGTTGTTTGCATTTAACTTCCCCTACTTCTCTGCCTCTGCCATTTTTCTTTCTTTCAGCAATTTTAGATTTGTTCTTCGCTCCCTTATCCCTACACAATTCTTCATTTTCCCACATCTTTGGACCTTCATCAAATAAAAGATCGTCGTACACAACAGTTTTACGATTAGGCAGCATCAACTTGCCAACCTCGTGTTTGTTTCCCGTTCCTTTACCAAGATCAAAATTTTCAACTCTATCCAAGGAAGTGGAACAAAAAGTATCCTTGGTTGTCTCATTTATCTCGTAAGGAGATTGATTTCTCATAGTAGTAGTTTTTGTGGATGTTTGTCTCCTACTTCCAGCAATAGAATCACTAGCTAGTTGCTTCTCGTCCACCTTCTTTTCATTTAACATTCCAGGAATAGCCTCATTAGCGAGTTGCTTTTCCTCTACCTTTTTCCCCTGTAACACTCCTGCTTGTTTCGAATGCATAATACTTGAACCCGCCACTAACTCCCTATCAATCCTTCCTTCTTCAACCTCACCATTCACAACCACACAATTGGAAGAAACCGTAGTACTACTATCACATATCCGCTTATCCAAATGAATCTCTTTCAACTTAACTCCATTCTGATAACTTCCTACCGAAGCTCCGAAAGTCCCACCTTCACCTGACAACGAACCCAAGGGATCAGATACATCACGAGGGTGCCCTTCTTCCTGAACTTGCTGTTCACTTACTACTCTTCCCTCCGCATTAACTGATTGAATATCTACACATCCTTCTTTGCGCACAACAACGCTGTCACTCTGGTAGTCATCAACAGACAATGTATTATCCACTTTCATTACATGATCTAACTCCATAACCTTATCAATAAAGGAACCATCCTGCATTAGCAGATCTTCGTCTTCATCTTCATCCAATCCCATTATACTCTCTATCTCATGGACTGCTGCTAGCTTTGTTTCACTGAACCCTTGGCCTTCAATCGCTGCCTTAGTTTCACCAAACCCTCCACTGTCCGAGACCAAACATGCCAAATTCTGATCACGAGTCTGACCCTTTTCTGTTAGGGTATCATTTAGACTGTCCAGCGCAACAATATCTCCTCCCCCAACTTTACTGCTATTGCTATCTACAGCGAAAAAGAAGAGGGGAAAACAGACAAAATCTCAGCTAAAGCAAACAATAACGAAGAAACAAGAATCCACAGCCGCTAGAATATCAGTACCAGGGTTTCTCTCTTGTGGGGGAAGCTTGGGAGCGAGTTGCCACAGATGAGGATGGTCGTCGCAGAGTGATAAGATTCGAACCAGTGAAAAATAGGTCTCGCTCTTGAGGAGTGGCTTGCGATGAGGACGAAGAACACCAGAGAATTTAGAAGATGGGTTCGACGACGTCGGGTGCTCCTCCATTGGAGATACCATTGAAATTCAGCTGAATGCTTCTTTCGAAGGAAGAGAATTTTTATATTCCTGAGGGAGGTTCGAGCGAATTCGACGTTGGCGCCTTTTCCTTTCTTTCTACCCGAGTCCGAATCAGGTCGGGATCGGGTCAAAGTCGAACCCAGCTTTCTCTCGCAATTCCTTCGCTTTCGCCACAGTTCTTCTCTCCTCTTCCTCAGGCGACTTAAATCAGTTCCGAAGCAAAACCACCGACCATCGCCGTATGTTGGTTGCGTCGAAGCACAACAACGCTCTTATTATACCTTCCCTGTAGACTATAGAGCAACCCCCACCATGAAAACGTATCCGACTTTCAAGAGGCTCCTTCCCTAAGGCGAAACCCCAAGGCCCCGAAGAATCCGTCTTCCCGTCGTTTCGAATCTCCTTCCGTCTGCGCTCTTTCCGACTCAGCCCCCTCAAACCTCATTGCTCCTCCATTGGGTTTCAAAAGAATAAGAGTATTGGGGTTCTCACAATAATTAGGGTTAAAAGAGTGGATTTGGGATTGCAGCCGAGAAAGGGTTTGGAGGGCAATTGGCGGAGCACGGAGAATCTCGTTCTCACCCACCGAAGCCTGCCGCTGCCGAGGAGTAGCTGGGAACCGGTGGAGTAGCTGGCGCCGGATATGTAGCTAAGCGCCAGAGGAGCAGCTAGGTGGGTGCCGTCGAAGATGGTGCTGAATGATGGTGGGTAGGGTGAATGACGAGGAGGAATGCTCGACCGTCGAAGGGAGAATAAGAATTAGGGATTTTTTTCTGTTGGTACACGTACAGGTTAAAAACAAATTTTTCAATATAAGCGTCATTTCACACTCCGTTAACGGCCCATAAACAGAATTTTGGATGGAAGGTTATTCTCGTTAAGTTTCGATAGTAGAAGGATATCTTTGTACAAAATAATAGTATAAGGATATATTTGTTAATTTATAATAGTAGAGGGGTATAAAATGCTATTAACCCTATAGCAATTATAGGTGTCAAAACATAGCCCGACCCGATTAACCCGCCCGATCAACCCGACCGCAATTCGAATTGACTAAAAGTCAACAACCCGTAACCCGCCCGACCCGCAACCCGACTAACCCGCAACCCGATTAACCCGAACCCGATTAACCCGAACCCGACTGACCCGCAACCCGATTAACCCGAACTCGATTGACCCAAACCCGACTAACCCGTAACCCAACCAACTCAACCCGAATTTCATCTAATCCACTTGAATAATTATAAAAATATACAATACATAGTTTTTCAAAATAAAGTTTTTCATTCTAAACTTAAGTAAATTTATTTTTTCATTTCGTATAAGAAGTTTTAAAAATATGAAACTCACTTGATATTACGTATTTTAAGAAAATTAAAAAAATTAAAACATGAAGGTCACTTGAGATCATGACTATTAATATAATATATAAATTAAAATTTTGGTTAATTTAACTATTCAATAAAATTATCAATTAAATATAAATAAAGTAAAGTAATGTATTTGGTAATTTGATGTTTTTAAAAGAAGAGGGAAATTTTGGTGTATTCAAGTTTTTGGGAAGAGAAAGAAGAGGGAAATTTGGTTCTTTGAATTTTTTAGAAAAGAAACAAGTCGGAATTTTGGTGGTTTTGATATTTGGAAAGAGAAAGAAATGAAAAAGTTTGATTCTTTTGATTATGAAAGAGAAATAAGGAGGGAAACTTTTGACTTTTCAATTTTTTGTAGAAGGAAAGAAGAGGGTAATTTGGTTCTTTCAATTTTATGGAAGAGAAAGAGGAGGGAAATTGAGTTTTTCTAATGTATGGAAGGAGAAAGAAGAAGGGAAATTTTGAGTATTTTTTTTTTTTTGATGAATCGATGGGTTTCATTTCATCAAAAAGAAGCGCTAGCAACAACCTTGCTAGCTAGGTGAAGTTTCAATATATATGCACTAAGTACAAAGACACTAAAAATAAACTAAACCTCTGAGACAACCCTACCCCCAAAATTGAGCAACCCTATGACTTCCCAGAAAACATTCCACTTCACTCTTGATCAACTTCAGCAACAAGTTAATAGCAAGTGCCTTACCAGCATACAAGCGACGACATCTCTCTCTCCAAATGTTGCTAACCCAACTCTGCCAAACAACCCTGCCTACCTCCGCTAGCTCAGTTTGCGCTTTGAACTTCAAAACAGCCCAAGTCACCTCCTCAGTCCAGCTCTGCACATGAGGAATGTACAGCACCCTTCCAAACAATGAGACATGGACCTGTCTGGATACCCTACAGTGAACGAACAGATGATCTCTGTCCTCCAACCCAGAATCACAAAGACAACACTTCATATCTCCTGCATACCCCCAGCCCTGCATTTTAGCTTTTGTATGAATACTATTTCTCAAAACCAGCCAAGTGAGGATTCTATTTTTAGGAATCCCCTTTCCTTTCCAAAGAATCTTCCACCAGATAACATCACTTCCAACAGGCCTAAGCAAATTCCAGACTCTTTTTATAGAAAACTTTTGCATAGGAGAACTGTCCATCAGGATTTCCTCCCCTCTAAATGAGATGAAAGCACCCACCTTGAATCTCAGTTTTAACAGCTTTTTCCAGTTCCATGAACCAGAAGAGCAAGTATATGTCCAGAAGTTTCACCCTTTCAACTTGTATCTATTAACCGATGCTACCCAGATAGAGCCCTCCTGCATCAATATCAACCAATATGTCGCGTCATACAAGCCTGGTTCCAACTAGTGAGCTCCCTGAAACCCAAGCCCCCTTCCTTTTTAGGGAAAGTAAGGTACTTACAGGCCACATTAGCTCGCAGTTTCACTCCTGCTTCCACACCCCACACAAAATCACTGCATATTTTCTCCACTGCCCTGATAACAGATTTTGGAAGGAGGAAGACAGACATCCAGAACTGTGTCAAGCTATAGAGAACATAACCAACCAGCTCAACCTGCCCTGCATAAGTGAGGGATTTTGCCTGCCAGCCTCTCACCCTGGCTAACATTTTATCAAGCAATGGCCTACAGGCTGTTAAACTAAGTTTCCCCGAGATAAGAGGAACCCCCAAATAACGAACAGGGAAAGATCCCAACTGGTATCCAAACCTCTCAGCTCTAACCTTACTTTCCTCTTTATCTATCCCCCCCAAAAAATATCTCGCACTTACTTGGATTTGACTTTAGACCTGACAATTGTTTAAACTTAGCCAACACAGTCTGCAGTTCTTGAATACCAGAGTTTGAAGCATCCGAGATAACCAATAAATCGTCAGCAAAACACAGATGTGTTAAAGCCACTCCCTTACACATAGGATGAAAAGGAAACCTTCTTTCAGCAGCAGACTTATCCAGAAGACAAGAAAAAACTTCCATAGCTATGGAAAATAGATATGGAGATAGTGGATCTCCCTGCCTAAACCCCTTCTTGGCTGGGAAGTAACCCACTAAACCCCCATTAAAGCAAACACTAAGCATGGGAGTCCCTACACACATCTGAATCCAATTCACACATCTTTCAGGGACATTCATACACCTCAATACTTGAAAAATAAACCTCCAATCCACTGAGTCAAAAGCCTTCATCAAGTCGATTTTAATAGCACATCTAGGGGATATGTTCTGATGAGAGTATTTACTAACTAACTCATGAGCTAGTAAAATATTCTCACCAATCAATCTTCCTTTCACAAAAGCAGTCTGGTTTTTGCTAATCAGTGAGGGGAGGAGAGGACTGAATCTGTTTGCTATGAGTTTTGAGATGCATTTATAAAGGATATTGCAACATGAGATTGGCCTAAAGCTTTTCATTTCATCAGGGTTAGCAACTTTTGGAATCAAAGCTAAAACAGTTGCATTAATAGGCCTAGGAATTCTATCTTGCCCAAAGCAGTACCTGATAGCTTGACAAACCTCTGGACCAATTAGAGGCCAGGCATAATGGAAGAAAGATGCTGAGAATCCATCTGGACCTGGACTTTTGTCACCATCCATTGCAAAAATTACTTCCTTGATTTGATCATCCGAGAAAGGCTCACAAAGATCACCTATCTGCTCCTCAGTTAACTTCCTTCTCAGCAAAGTTGTATAATGTTCATCAGAATGGACAACTACATCTGGATCTTCAACCCCCAGCAACCTCTGATAAAAACGTACTGCTATTTGAACCATCTCCTCGACATCTGTAATTTTTTCCCCATCTTCATTTTTGAGAACTCTGATGGTATTTCTCTTCTGCTTAACTCGGACTGCTCGATGGAAAAATGCTGAGTTCATATCGCCTGTCCTGAGCCAATTCTCTCGAGACTTTTGCTTATAAAAGGTTTCCTCAGCATCCATCAGAATTTTCAGCTCCAAACTCAACTTCCTCTCTTCCCCAAACAATTCTGCAGTTGGGGTAGCCAGAGCTTTCTGCTGAATGTCAATAACCTCTCTTTCTTTTTCCTTTACTCGTTCAGATAAATTTGAATACTCTTCACGATTCAACTTCCTCAGCAGGTTCTTTAGATTCTTCAACTTCTTACTCACTCTGATCAGAGGATGCCCAGTAACATTGCTTCTCCAAGCCTCCTCAAGCAACTCATCAAACTTAGGATGTTGAATCCAGAATTTGAAAAATTTAAAAGGCTTTGGGATGGACTTCAATTCAGCTTCAGTATCAACGTATATGGGACAATGATCAGAGACCCCTGGAGCCTGAAAGTGCACCTTACTATCCTTAACTGAATCCAACCAGGGAAAATTAACTAAAACCCTATCCAATCTCTTGGCAATAGGGTTGGCTGCCTGTTTATTCATCCAGGTGAACCAAGGCCCTGTGGCCTGATGCTCCTCCAACTCCAGGTCATTGATCCAATCATTAAAAGTAGTCATGGAAGCATCAACTCTAGGATCATTGGAAGCTTCAGCAGGATTCCTGACATCATTAAAGTCCCCCATCACAATCCATGGAGCAGTAGAAACTCGAATTCTTCTTAATTCATTATACAGAACTAGTCGAAGATTCTCATCATTAGCTGCATACACTACTGTCCCAAAAAATGGCCTAGCACCCCCACCATAAAATGGATAAACTGATCTGAAGAATGCAAGACTGTAAGCGAAATATCCTTCTTCCAAACCAACCAAATCTTACCCAAGCCAGACTCATTATGCTATACCTTGCTCTCCCAATCTGGAAATCTCTTCTTAACCAACTCATCTATCTCAGAGGCTCTTATTCTTGGTTCTAACACAGCTACTATATCTATATTATGCTTGTTTATTTTCTTCTGTATTGCTATAAACTTACTATCAGCTTTGAAACCTCTAGTATTCCAAGTAAGCAATCTCATCTCTTACCCCTACCCTTCCCACCCTTCCCTCCTTTCCTTGGCTGAAGTGGAACAAGAGGAGAGTCAACCCAAATCTTCTTACCTTTATCCGGAGGCTTAACATTCTCTTTATCCTTTGCACCAGCTTTCCCCCCTTGAGCTTGCTGAGATTGCTAGCTCCCAGAAATTGGTGACTGACCAATCTCAGCAGTCTGCCCAGTAGTTACAGAACTCCCACCTTGGAGTGGTGATCCTCTAACAATTTGCGCAAAGCTCAGGGGAGGACTCTCAATTGATGTAAGAGGCTGGATGTGAACTTCTTCAACAGGAGTTAGTGTGGATGTAAGAGGCTGGATAAGAACTTCTTCCACAGGAGCAGCATTCTCCGCCCCTACAACCACCATCTGCTCTTCAATCCTAGTCTCAATACCCCTTTCCTCTTGTGCCAAACTCTCAACATTCTTCTCCAAATTCA